TACAAGTACACGTTAGCAAAAGGAAAAATAGATAATTTTCAAATTGAAGATAAACATTTTTTGCTTAAAGAATCACCATTTCTTTATGCAATGGCTAGATTGAAAGTTGGCACCAACCAAAGAAGTAGATGGTAGGTGACCATTAAGAACTTTTTGTTGGTATAAGTCAAATGTAGTAGAAATTAAAAGCTCTCTTGTTTGTAGCAATAATGTAGTAGAACTTAATTTCCTCTGGCAACCAATTTAAAATTTATGATAGGTAGAAGAATCCAAGGAACATAGAGGCTCCAGCAATTTATTCTTGCTGAAGAATATCTTTACTTGTGTATTCTACATGTATACTTCTTTTTTGCAACACCCAACTATTGCCTCTAATAATTTTATCCTGACAATAGACAATACAACTATACAAGTACATGTTAGCGAGAGGAAAAATAGATAATTTTCAGAGTAAAGGTAAACATTTTATTGCAACAGCTAGATTGAAAATTAGCACCAACCAAAGAAGTAGATGGTAGGTGACCATTAAGAACTTTTTGTTGGTAGAAGTCAAATGTAGTAGAAAATAAAAGCTCGCTTGTTTGTAGCAAGAATGTAGTAGAACTTACTTTCATCTGGCAACCAATTTAAAATTTATTATTGGTAGGAAAATCCAAGGAACATAGAGGCTCCAGCACAAGCTTTGCTTGATGCCAAGAGATAAGTTTGAGCTCACATTGACCACATTAATGGCACAAATGTAGTGGATGCTTAGTCACTGATGAATCCCTTATTTTTTATGCTAACGCCATCAACTATGGAAATTTGTTAAGCTAGGAAAAAATCAAGAAAGCAAAAGACATCCAATCCAATAGTTTTCTTTATGAAAGGGCATCCTATGAAATTATCACCAATTCCCAAATTGCAAATATAAATATAAAGTTAATACCATCTACCAATAACTATGAAAAATAAGTAATTTCAAAGTTTTTTTAAGGAGTAAGGAAAAAAAACAAAAAATTTGGGGCCTGTATGAAGATACTGTGTTTCCATGAATTATTTGTCCAAAGAACTACTAACCAAGACAGTAGATGGTAGGTGACCACCAAGAACTTTTTGTTGGTAGAAATCAAATGTAGTATAAATTCAAAGCTCTCTTGTTTGTTGCAATAATGTAGCAGAACTTACTTTCATCTGGCAACCAATTTAAAATTTATTATAGGTAGAAGAATCCAAGGAACATAGAGGCTCCAACAATTTATTCTTGATAAAGAATATCTATACTTGTGTATTCTACATATATATATTTCTTTTTTGCAGCACCCAACTATTGCATCTAATAATTTTATCTTGATAGTAAACGATACAACTAACAAGTACACGTTAGCGAGAGGAAAAATAGATAATTTTCAAATTAAAGATAAGCATTTTAGCTTGAAGAATCACCATTTCTTTATGCAACGGCTAGATTGAAAATTAGCACCAACCAAAGAAGTAGATGGTTGGTGACCATTAAGAACTTTTTGTTGGTAGAAATCAAATGTAGTAGAAATTAAAAGCTCTCTTGTTTGTAGCAATAATGTAGTAGAACTTAATTTCCTCTGGCAACCAATTTAAAATTTATGATAGGTAGAAGAATCCAAGGAACATAGAGGCTCCATCAATTTATTCTTGATAAATAATATCTTTACTTGTGTATTCTACATATATATTTCTTTTTTGCAACACCCAACTATTGCCTCTAATAATTTTATCTTGACAATAGACAATACAACTATACAAGTACACATTAGCGAGAGGAAAAATAGATAATTTTAGAGTAATGGTAAACATTTTATTGCTTGAAGAATCACCATTTCTTTATGCAACGGCTAGATTGAAAATTGGCACCAACCAAAGAAGTAGATGGTAGGTGACCAGTAATATTTTTTTTGTTCGTAGAAGTCAAATATAGTAGAAATTAAAAGCTCTCTTGTTTGTAGCAACAATATAGTAGAACTTAATTTCATATGGCAATGAATTTAAAATTTATTATAGGTAGAAGAATCCAAGGAACATAGAGGCTCCAGCACAAGCTTTGCTTGATGCCAAGAGATAAGTTTGAGCTCACATTGACCACATTAATGGCACAAATGTAGTGGATGCTTAGTCACTAATGAATCCCTTATTTTTTTTATGCTAACACCATCAACTATGGAAATTAATTAAGCTAGGAAAAAAATCTAGAAAGCAAAAGACATCCAGTGCAATATTTTTTTTATGAAAGGGCATCCTATGAAATTATCACCAATTCCAAAATTGCAAATATAATATAAAGTTAATACCATCTACCAATAACTATGAAAAAGAAGTAATTTCAAAGTTTTTTAAAGGAGTAAGGGGAAAAAGAAACAAAAAATTTGGGGGCCTGTATGAAGATACTATGTTTCCATGAATTATTTGTCCAAAGAACTACTAACCAAGGATGTAGATGGTAAGTGACCACTAAGAATTTTTTGGTGGTAGAAATCAAATGTAGTAGAAATTAAAAGCTGTCTTGTTTGTAGCAATAATGTACTACCTTAATTTTATCTGGCAACCAATTTAAAATTTATGATAGGTAGAAGAATCCAAGCAACATAGAGGCTCCAACAATTTATTCTTGATAAAGAATATCTTTACTTGTGTATTCTACATATATATTTCTTTTTTGCAGCACCCAACTATTGCCTCTAATAATTTTATCTTGACAATAGATGATACAACTATACAAGTACACGTTAGTGACAGAAAAATAGATAATTTTAGAGTAATGGTAAACATTTTATTGCTTGAAGAATCACCATTTCTTTATGCAACGGCTAGATTGAAAATTGGCACCAACCAAAGAAGTAGATGGTAGGTGACCAGTAATATTTTTTTTGTTCGTAGAAGTCAAATATAGTAGAAATTAAAAGCTCTCTTGTTTGTAGCAACAATATAGTAGAACTTAATTTCATATGGCAATGAATTTAAAATTTATTATAGGTAGAAGAATCCAAGGAACATAGAGGCTCCAGCACAAGCTTTGCTTGATGCCAATAGATAAGTTCGAGCTCACATTGACCACATTAATGGCACAAATGTAGTGGATGCTTAGTCACTAATGAATCCCTTATTTTTTATGCTAACGCCATCAACTGTGGAAATTAATTAAGCTAGGAAAAATCTAGAAAGCAAAAGACATCCAATGCAATAGTTTTCTTTATGAAAGGGCATCCTATGAAATTATCACCAATTCCCAAATTGCAAATATAAATATAAAGTTAATACCATGTACCGGTAACTATGAAAAAGAAGTAATTCCAAAGTTTTTTAAAGGCGTAAGGGGAAAAAGAAATGAAAAGTTTGGGGCCTGCATAAAGATATTGTGTTTCCATGAATTATTTGTCCAAAGAATGACTTAATATTAACAAAAACTAACTGTTGGCCCATTTGGTTAGAAAAAATTAACTCCCATATCATAATTTGTCTTTTGTTTGTATTGGCACCATTTGAACTCTAGTGAGTTGCAATGTGCCATAAATCTAATATATTTGTTTATCAACTATATGGTTATATTATATTTTCTTTAACTAAAGTTTGGTTATGTTGTCAATCCATAACTGACTATACTGTTTGCTATTATACTTGCATTATCTATAGGAAATTCATTCTTGTATCCTTAAGCTCCAATGATGTAGGGCATGTCACGCATATTTATGGATAATAATGGTAACACGACTCAATAATGTTTGCACCATTCTGATAATTAACTCAATAGTATTCTAATTATCTTTTCTTGAGCTAAATTGTTGGTATTTTATTGGTGTGGTGCTAATAACCACTAGAAACCATCACTATAGTTTTTCAAAATGCATATATAATTAATTGTATTATCCCTTTTTAGTTCCTTAACATATGTGACACTCATCCACTCCATTCGTTACCACATTTTAATAATTCACAGTTTGTCGTATATTAGTAACGAGCGGGAATGCAATATCTGCTCAGCTTATGTACGGAATATTCACCATGCTATGCGTTGCTGGATTTCAATAATTCATAGTTTGTCGTATATCAATACCGATAAAAGATGCAACACACGTTCGTCGTTATTATACGTTATCGTATCCATTAGATACATAAGTATTTCCTTTTCTAGGGAAAAGTTGTTCGGATACTGTCGGAACGGAATGGTGTTACACCATAAATCAAATAAGAAGATTTGCAATAATCCATAATATATAAATAACTTACCATGGTTAAACTTAAAGCTAAATGTAATAGTTCTTGATCTTTAACTTATATTAGTCTATTATTTATACTTGTGTACTCTCTCTCTCTCTCTCTCTCTCTCTATATATATATATATATATATATATATATATTTGTTTTTTGTTCAACACTTAACATTCATTGCCCAATTGTACATTATATTGGTAACTTCAGAGGGAACTAGTTAGAGAGACTTTGTTCATATAGTAAATTTTGACAAGCTAACTACCTCTAATAATTTTTATCTTGACAATAGACAGTACTTATCTTAAAAAGCTAATATCAGTAACAATAGACATGTTAGCAATAGGAAAAAATAGATAATTTTCAAATTAAAGATAAATAATTTTTTTCTTGAATAATAATCACCATTTCTTTATACAACGGCTAGATTGAAAGTTGCCACCTACCAAAGAAGTAGAAGGTAGTAGGTGAGTGTTAAGAGTGTTTTGTTCGTAGTAATAAATTGCAGTAGAAATCAATAGCATCCAAAAAAAACTAACTGGAAAAATTAAGTGAGGGGAGAAGAAGCCAAGGATGCAGTGGTTCCAGTGCAACCTCCCTGAGCTGTGCCGGGAATCGCATTCCCCCCTAAATCGCCTATAAATAGGGGCCCGCCGGCTCCCATCACAATCACCCCTCACTCGCTCAATTCCCATTCCAAGTCCCCCGCTCCCGGATTCCCGACGACGAGCTCAGAGCTCCTCCCCAGCCCCTGCTCGGTGCTCAAAGCAACAGCTGCCGCCATGTCTGCCGCCAACCAGCTCGCCGCCCTCATCGCCAACATGTTCGCCACGGTAAGGGTCTCCCTCCGCTGCACGACCGCTGGATTCTCGTATTTCGGCGCCACTGGTGTGGAATTCGGGTTGTGGCTGACGGGATTGCGCTCTGTTTTGGTGCTAGGGTTTGCTTGACGATCAGTTCCAGCAGCTCCAAATGCTGCAGGACCCCAGCGCCCCGAACTTCGTCTCTGAGGTCGTCACGCTCTTCTGCCAGGACGGCGAGCGGATCATCGGGGAGCTCGCCAAACAGCTGTATGTGTGGTTCCTCACTCGTTGTTCTGTTTCTGTGATCGGATCGTTGCGTTGTGGGGGGATGGATTGAATCTGATTCCTGCAATTTGCTGTTTCTGTGCCTGTGCAGTGACAAGCCCAGCGTGGATTTTGACAGGGTCGACGCCTTTGTGCATCAGCTCAAAGGAAGTAGTGCTAGGTGATTACCTTGTCCATACCCTGCTCTTGAATTGCATGTGTAATGCTAGTAGGAATGTACTTGTTGTGTTTCCATTTCAGCGTGGGAATGGGGCATGAAATGCCATCAAAATGAGGAGGGGGGATTTAAATTCGTGCAATGATTGATCTGGCTTGCAAAATTAATTCTGTGTGATGATAGGACCGGATCAGTTAAATATCAGTTTTTCACATTCTGTTTGGGAACTGTTGCCATTGGTTCGAATTGTTGTGTTATGCGATGTGGATCTGACACATGTTGTCTTATGAGTGCACCAGTGACACAACTTGAAAAGGAAAACTTCAAATTCCCCTGTTTTAAGTTGTGTTTCGAATCCATTTAGGGAAGGGATTGCCATATATTTTGAGTTGTGTTCCAGATCTGTTTTCGGGAGAGTTTGTCATCTATTTTCTTGTTATTGTGACATAAAATGTGAAAAACATGCTCCCCACCACACTAATCGAATAACTCAAGTGGCACTAGTGAACCCTCCCCATTTTTAGTGCTTTAGTTTCATGTTGTACTAGATATGGAATTCATGGCCAAGACACAGCAGTAGTTGCTTGTCTGTAATCATCATGGTTTAGGAATTAAGGTAGGGGAAATGGGGGATTGCTTGTCTTGCCTACCTCAAAATGATTTGGTTTTCATGTTATGTTGCCTGCATTACAAATGAATCATTTTATGCATTATATAGTTTTTTCCTTATCTTGGATGCAGATCTGTTTAGGATTTGTGGATATGAAGCACCTATGCTATTACATTTTGAATAATTGTGTTATGAAAACAAATAGAGGATAGAATAATCAAGACTTATCAAGGGTCTCAAATGAAAATGATATGGATCCATCTCTGTTTGTAGAATTCGAAAGTTTCAGTATTAGATGTGGGGCTTGCTGGAGTTCTAAAATTTTATAAGGCTTGTACTTGGCTGGCTTGTTAACTCAGATATGGATGATCAAATTGTTTAATATGTATTTGATTAGTATGCAGTCTGATGACATCTAAACTTTGGTATTTTCTTTTTCTTCTATTATTGAATTATTTTTGTGGCTCCTTGATTTGTATATTTGTTTATTTCAGTGTTGGGGCTCTGAAGGTTAAGAACACTTGCATTCAGTTCTGCGAATTATGTCAGCAGAAGAGCAAAGATGGGTTAGTACCTAGTTTTTTATATGTTCATGTACTGCTGTTTTTTGTCATTGTCTTATTGATATTTAGGAGCTCCTAATGTTATTACTGTGAAAACAAAATTTGGTTGCTATGAGCATTTTTTTTGCATAGTTATCAGCTGTGTGTTCCATTCATGAGTTACCAATGAATATTGTCTGCACAAATCACTGAACTATATCCTTGCCAGGTGCCTGAAGACACTGGAGACAGTGAGGATTAACTTCTATGAGCTGCGTGGAAAGTTTCAGACCATGCTTCAGGTATTACCTTCTGTGATTAAATTCTTCTGAAAATACATTTTTCTGCATGTTCTTATATCAAGATTCTGTATAGAATGTTTAGTCCTTTGTTACTCCTTTCTTTGGCCATTATATCTTTATATTGTGATGATGAATTTTCCTCTTCTTATCCATATATAGGACTGATATATGTGTTCTCTGATGCAGCTGGAGCGTCAGGTCAATGGCTTTCCCCCCAACAATTAAACCAGATGGCAGAGTGGAGCTTCATGTTGGGATGACTTATGCACCTTTCAAGTCTCAGAACATTCTGAATGAGCTCCTCAGTTGGCTTCTGGGAAGTCTGTAATAGCTTATCTGCAGGATTAGTGTTGACACCACCGTAGCAGTAGTCATTGTCGTCGTCTTTGTGTCACCGAAGTAGTCGTAGTAAGTGTCTGTGCTGGGTGATGGATCTCCTGCAAGCAGTTGCAGGTGATCCGTTTACTCTGTAGTAGTCGCTCCCAATAATCTCTCTCTTAGGAGTCTGCTGGTGGAACCTGGTGGTGAAACAAAATAAAATGCTATGGCTATTGGTTAATAATAATAGGCTGCTGTGTTTGGTAACATGTGCATGCTGTGTGATGTGCTATGTGAAAGTGAGCCTGTCGTTGGATCATGGTTGTATCATTGCAGATTTTTCAGGTTGGTGGCGCGACTGTCAGGGCATCAGGGGAGGGCAGCAACAGCTAGCAATGAGACTTGGTGATGGCCTGCCCTATCAATGGTTGTTTTGCTTCCCCTTGAGTTGTTTTCCCCTAACTTGCTATGCTCTTATCTAGATTCTGTACAGAATGGTCCCCGGCATCCCGTTCATGGGGATCTGGCTTGGGTCAGTTTGGTGATCGACTCCAGATTCTTGGCGGTCGATCCGTATAGTTCTCGGGTCCGTTCGGCCGGTCCCGAGGGCTATGTGCCTTTCTTCGAGGAAAAACCATGGATTACAACTGGCTGAGACTCGAACGTGAGTCAAGATGCCTACGGCGCTCACGTGCCCGGGTTCTGGCCACTAGCGGGCCCATCCCTTTTCACCTCTCACTCTAGAGGTGCCTAGAGCGATTGTCGAACCCGTCGATGGGCCGACCTGCAGACTCCTTGGCCCACTCGGGCCATAGAGACACTTTTAGATCCGTATTCCTCTTACCCGCGATGAGTCATGGCCCATCTGGAGGGGCGAAACGTCCAACGAGTTTTCTGAGGGAACGAATAGAGATTGCGTGCGCACGTCCCGCTGTGGGACATTGTGGCAGATCGTGGCAGGCATGGAGATCTAGACAGACGGTTGGTTTCCTCGCATCCATCACCCCTATAAAACCATAGGGTTCGCCCCTAGGGTTCCATACCTTGCATCCTTGCCTCCGAAGCCACGACCGCCACCACCAATCACCTAGGGTTCCCCGTCTCTGCATCCCCACCACCATCGAGCCCGCATCCAACCGTCCCCACCTCCAATGGATCCATGGTGCCATTCTAACATCACCTTCCAACGCATGGAGGGCCTCGTCCGTCGTGGTCTTCTTCGCGCGCGGACCTTGGCCGAGGAGTCGCTATTGCCTGGTGAGGAGGATCTGCCATCACTGCCCGACGGCTACATAGTGTCGCTCGCCCACTTCCATGAGCGTGGGTTCGTGACCCCTGCCCACAGATTTCTCCGGGGTCTGTTGCACTACTATAAGATCGAGCTGCAGCATCTCAACCTCAACGGGATTCAACACATGGCGGCGTTCGTCACCTGTGCGATAGATTCCTAGGGATCAGCCCCCACTTCGATCTGTGGAGGTACTTCTTCGCCATCACCCTCCAGAAGAAGAGGGAGAAGAGCGGTAGGCAGGAACTGCACATGCCGATGGGGTGCGCCGGCATCCAACTCCGGAACAACCGGGTCGGCGAGTACCTGCCGATGCGGCTGTCAACGTCCAACAAGGGGTGGCATTCACAGTGGTTCTACCTCAAGAATACCGCCGCCGCCCCTCTACCGAAGTTCACTAGATGCCTGCTTGAAGAGGCCCCAGAGTTGTGGAGGAAGTGGGGTGTTCTGGAGAAGGACAAGAAGAAGATCATGGACCACATCGCCGCCATCCACATCCTGAAGGAGAGCAGCCTGAAGGGGTCGGGCGTCATCGGGGCCTACCACTCAAGGAGGGTGGCGCCGTTGATGATGCGCGTGCTCCCGCTGTACATGATGGCGCTCGAGGCGTCGTTCGACGGAATGGTGCTTGCCGAGGGAGCGCTCCCCCACTCTGAGGCCGCGCAATGCATTAAGGAGGCGATGGAGCCTTTGCGGGATGACGTGGGCGCCCCCCCTTGATTTCATCTACCTGGTGCTGGGACATCCTTTGATGCGGCCAAAACCAGGCCATGTCATCTTCGTAAGTTTCCCCTCCTCATACCTCCGCTTTAATTGATTTCCCGACCTCTTGATATCAACTTTGAGAGGGACAGGATCAGCCAAGGGACCTCATCTTCATGGATCACCCGGCGCCGTTGTCGAGGGATTCGTCCGTGAGGGCGGCGAATCGCGCCGAGGGTGAGCAGCTGAGGAAGGCAAAGGAGGATAAGAGGAAGAAGAAGCAGCGGAAGCTACAGGCGCGGGAGCGAGGGGAGGACACCGACAACGACGATGATGATGATGGAGACGACGATGAGGTAATCGACGACATCGATTGGGACGACCTGGAGAATGAGGATGTGCTGATAGGTATCGGTTCGTCCTTGTAGGAGTCAGCACCCTTCCCATTCCACTGAGGGGAGGGCACGTCTGGGGAGCCAGCGGAGATGGGCCATTCCGTGGGCCTGCCCCAGGAGCCAATAGGGGCGGATGGCTCTGCCGCCGCGCCCGAGGTGCCAGCGGAGGCGGGTGGCTCCACCGTCGCACCCCAAGGTCCAATGGGAGCGAGCCCCTCTGCCCAGGAGCAGGGGGCGGGCTCGAAACAGCCTCGCCCCGATGAGGCGGAGCAGAGGTCAGGGGTTTCGCCCTGCAAACATATCTGCCACCCGACGATGCTGAGGTGAGTCATCAGCTCCTCTGTTTTTCCCTGTTTTGGTTAGATTTCATTATGACTTATGCTTTTTGTCACTTGCAATGTCGGGAGGTAGCGTAATCCTTTGGCGCTGGCGCCAAAGAAGAGCATCACCCTTCAAGTGAGGCGGCAGCCGTCGGCTAGCGTCGTGCCCGTTTTGGGCGGGAGCAGAGCTTGTGTGACTGCATCGCCGGCTGGTCAAGCGTCACCCATGGTGGCACCCGTGCCCTCGATGGGATGGGCAGATGCGGGGGCTTAGGGGACGCCTTTGGAGGTCACAAAACAGCCGGCAATGGCGGCGATACCGCTGCTGATGACGGGGCGGATTGGGCGGGCATGACGCAGCCGGTCAGGACCCCACCAACGCAGGCAGAGGTGGCGGTGGCTGTGACAAGTGGGTCATAGCCAGACACTATCACGCCGGTGTTGATGGCGTCTGGCGTGGGCCAGATGGAAGGGGACGCGTCCGAGGGGTCCCCAGAGGTCATGGTACTAGGAGAGGAGTCAGCATCCGTACCGCTAACCCCTTCGATCGCCGGAGGGAGTGTCCCAGTGAGGGCATCATGGCGAGAAGGGTCGGTGGAAATCGAAGCCGACAGGGAGCCGTCCCTAGCCTTGACGTCGGTGGGCAGCGACGTGCCTGTGTGGGGCGAGCCCATGCTCTGTTGGCGAGTCCGGAGGATCTGACATCGACACTGTTCACTCTTGACGACGCCATAGAGAGCATGGAGTGGGAGAGCCTCAACATGGGGATTACATCCGTGCTCGAAGCCCTAGACCATGCCTGAGGTGCCTTGTGCGATGTTGTCATTCCCTCTAGTCGAGTATTCGCTTGACCCTGCTTCTCACCATTTTCTTTCTCTATATATTTTTTGTATTCTTTCCATCGTCTCCTTTTAGTTCCATATTGCTCGTAGCCGGGGGAAGTCTTGGTTCCTTCATGAGCAGAAGGAAACCTAGGACCGCTTCATCGAGGAGGTGCGGCTGCACAAGGAGGTGATCGCTCTGCTTGTTGCCGCCGAGCAGAGCATGGCCGAGGTGACTCCCCTTGCCGAGGAGGCAGACAGTCTTCGGTCGTGGGTGGTCGAGGCCCATCGGCATGCTGACAAGGCTGAGAGGGCATTCAAGGCCCTGTTAGTGAGATCGTGGAGGGACAATGAGGAGGCTGCCAAGGTTAGAAAGGAGCGGGACGAGCTGCTCCAGAAGGACATCGACACCTGCCAGCGGATCCTCGACCTTCTGGCCGAGGTTGAGAAGGAAAGGGAGCTGAAGCTAGGGGCCGAGGAGAAGCTCGTGGCCCTACAGAAGAGGGCAAGTCTGGATGCTGCGGTGGTCGCCTGGCTACGCAAGGAGTGGGATGAGCTGCTCCAAACGTGGAGAGGCTCCGCTCGTAGCGTGGCGCAGCTCGCGAGGAGCGTGACCAGGCCATCTGAGAGCATGACCAGGCCTGCCAAGAGCATGATGATGCACAACAGAAGGTCGGCTCCCTCACGGCTGAGCTCAAAAACCCGATGACCCAGAATCTAGAGGCCAAGAGCGTTTCTGCTGGGCAGGCCGTGGACCTTGCTGAGGCGAGGAGGAATCTTTAGGCGGAGAGCGACAAGCTTGGTATCCTGAGTGCCGCCCTCAGAGTGATCTGTGACGACCTTGAGGTGGTGCGGTCGAAGGGGACCAGCTCGCTCATGGCCCGTGCCGTCGAAATCATGGTTTGGGTGCGCCAGCTCGAGAGGAATGCCCCTCACGCCAGGGTTAATCAATCCTTCATGATTGCTCATGCTCATTACGGGGACAACATCGACCTAGAGACGATGAGCCATGGCTTCGCGCCTGGCTATGAAGCCCACAAGCTGGAGGAGATGGAGATGGCGGTGGCTCCCCTTTCGCAGGACCTGGCAGACAGAATAGAGAGCATAGTTCTCCCCTGGAGGGGTTAGTTAGCCCGATAGGTCGGGCAATCATTCATGCAACAAGCAGACAAGCTCTGACCCCTCTGTACTATCCGAACAAACTTATCATTTTGTTTTGTTTGATCGAATTTATTTTTCCTCCCTTTTTATGTGTGAAAAGGGGTTCATGTGTTCTGACCCTTCCGTTTGTTAAGACTGTAGGGCCCGAGGTGTAGGAGAGAAACTCTGATCACGCTAGTAAGCAAGAATGCTGTAGCCGCTGGGGCGTAGGTTTCTCGTA